ACTTGCTCAACACCTTTGACTTCTCAAATGTGGTGCCCTCTGGGACAACAAAAACTAGAACACATTTCTTGACTGATACATCCTCGGATGCAACAGCTGCGTCCCAGAAACTCTGTACTTTCGATCCTTGCTCGATAGGCTCTGCACCTGTATACTTCATTTGAAAAAAGTACAGGGTATCATCACGACTGTCCAAAGCGAACGCATCAATCCCTGGAAAGACCAGACTGTATGGCCTGTAATAGATATCACGGTCATACTTAAAAGAAGTGTTGTTGCCCTTGAATACCTTTACTTCGTTGAAACTCAAATCCCATTTTTTTCTCTCCCCCGATAAAACCTCACTACGTGTAGCGTTGAGGACTGCCATATCGAACGGTGCTCCCGCGGCTCGGCGCCCACTGATTTCGAGGTGTGCAGCTTGTTCGAACATGTTGCCAACCGTACTTCCTCCTCCAAGCATTCTGGAAACATCTGGGTTGCGGATAGATTCCCCCACAAAGGCTAGCAGTTCATCTCTTCCCCTCTCGGCAACTCCTAGTGCAATCGAATCACGCGTGTAATTACTGGCGAACGTGACCGTGTAACCTTCGAAATTATCGCCAGAGTTCGACAAGATATGGAATAGCTGATCGCCTATCTTATTGGTTTGAATCCTGTTCTGCCCGCTCGAAAGCCTAGCTGCCCGTCTCAGCAAAGCCACATCTACTTCGCCCACCGCGGTCAATATACCATCTTTGAGAAGCTTAAACTTTTTCGCGTTAAAGATTGCTCGTGCCACACCTCCAACCAGACCAAAAGACTTCACCACGTCGGCACGTAGTACATGAGGGAAAACAAATCGCCGACATTTCAGAAGCTCTCCCAGGCTCCACACTGGCATGAATATTCGCTCGGAAGTGGGCAGCTTCAAGAACTCCTTAATTCTTTCAAAGTCAGGCGATACCAACACAACTGTTGTGCCTGCGAAATTCTCCTTAGGCCTGCCCTCCGGGTCACTCAAGTACCAAGCTGTTGGGTCCTGGGTAAACCCAGCACGATCGAAGTCAGCATACGTTCCTTTCTGCGCCCCCTCATCACCAAACCGGTACCAGTCGCCCTTCAGTTCATACACTACAGCTTTCCCTTCGCAGCGAAGCAGGTACAGAAGATGGTATCCGAACATCGATTTGCCGATTCCGGGAGTGCCCGTGACCACAATATCCTGCACGTTACCGCTCAAGATGAGGTCTGCCATTTCCTTGTAACAAGGACGGATGAACAGCTTGGATCCCAATTTACCGTTGCCGAGGAAGAACGTGCCGTTTACGAGTTCCAGGGTGTCCTCAGTTACTACGGCTCCGGTTAATGCCGCCGCAAAATCCGATACGTTCTTTTTGGCTGCAACGGGAAGACGATAAAAGACGGCCATGGCGGAATAGAAAAGTGTTGGACAGCGTTGATGAGCAACATTATTCCGCTGGCGAAGTCGATTACAGCAATCGCACAAAAGAAAAATGACGGGCATCTGCATCAAGCATATACAGCCTGACTGGCCCTGCTTCGCCAACGTCAAGAGACATGAACATCTCAAAAAGCTCGTCAACAAATAAAGATGAGCATGAAAGATAAGAAGGACGTCCAAGATCCGAATGCATGCCATGGTTACAGACCAAACTCACTTTCGAGCAAGTTCGGTGACATTGAAAGCACGCCCAACACACATGGGTAGAATGCCCGTGCATGAAAAAGGATAAGGACACCGCTTTTGAAGCGCAGAGCACGAAACACCCTACACTGAGTTTACGGCAAGAGACAGGAGCGAATATCGCGAACCCGTCCTTGTGGAAATCGCAAGGGGGCCACGGAAGAGCCCAGCACAGGGTTGGACAGGCAGCCGTTGTCGCTGCACTACTCCTACCGAAGCACCTGCTCCCTTGAAATACCTTGCAATAACTCGCAATACATGCGACCCATATCTGTGTACCGGAACCAGCAAACATCCCCGGAGTCGGGTCTTGCAAAGTTGGCATTCTTTTCAAACGTTCCAAATTTCACCGCATCCTCACAACGCGTCCGTTCGCGAGGATCTGCTGAAAGACTACATTCATACAAAGATTGTTGTCAAAGGTTGTTGTGAAATCACGTGCCACGAGCGCCCTTTCCTCCTGCAGCCCCATTCATGTCATGGCATGTCGTCACAATCAACAATCGAAAAAGCACCGGCACAAAGACAGCTTCAAAAGAGACACAAGCAAGTGCTCTCCGAAGGGAGGGCGTGAGGAAAGCTGTGGGTGCATGTGCTCAAAATTCTTGAGCAGCTCATTTAACTCTTCTGTCAAGAAAGCACGATCCCCCGAAAACCTGCTCGGCGTACACAACCGGAGTGGAACTAAGCATGCGGTGACTTTTAGACCACAGGCGTTCGCCAAGACAGTAGTGCTTCGATTGTTTTGCGATACTGTCAATTTTCCTTCCCGGCACACAAATGACCACGAGGGTACATCCGGTCGCCCTTCCCGCAACCTTCTAGAACCAGATCATGGGTTCGAGCCCCGACGAAGCGAGTTTTTTTCTCACATTCGTTCCTGGAAATTGAAAGCGGTTCGTTACTAAGCATCTGGACTTCGTTGAGGGTGGGGAGTGCTGAACCCTTCTCGCGATAAAAAAACAACAGGCAGGCACCGCAGGAGGGGGTCCACACACCCCCTCCTGTGTGACCCTGGTTGGGTCGTCTAGCTAATCGAGGTAGAGGATGGGGGCCAGTGGGGCAGACAACAAAATCCAATAATGGGAGGAAATAATGTAGGAGTAATACTCCTTGTGTAGCAGAGGAGGACTTGTCACAGCGTTCTGCAGCCAGGTGGGAAGAAAACGTCGCACGTACTGTAGCGGTGTTTGGAATTATTAGTCTATTGTTGGGGGTGTCATTCCGTGATCGAGTCCACGCAGGGGCTGTAGCAAAGTCGGGTAACGTGTGACAGCTACAGAGCGCGTGAAGCAACGGAAGGACAGCAGCAGCCGCCTAACGCAGTAGCGGCGGCAGTTTAGAAAAGTTGCTGAGGAGCGTAGATCTACCATAACGTCAGCAGGTTGCTTAAAAAAAGGAGGCGAATTGACCGTGCAAAACGACAGCACTACAATGTACCAGCCACAAGGAACTCCTCGAATTGTTTCAAATGGTCTGCTTTTATAGCGGGCGACCTGCATCCCCTAATCTGTACACTGTTGTGGATCTCCACATATACCGTATATGACACAAGATAACACCCCCCCTTGACCGATTTTCAAAGCTCGATTTCTCAACAGTAGGAAGAGTCACAGCGCCGAAAACGGCGGCGTTGGAACCGTCTCGTCGAGAGCTGTTCGAAAACGTATTGTTTCATTTATGCATCCTCTTCGTCGTGGAGTAATCCGAGCTTTGAAAATCGGGTCCAGGGGGGTGTGTTATCTTGTGTCATATACGGTAATAGGACGCTTCTATACCTGCGGGGGCGTTGTTGGCACGGAGCTGCTCAATCCTGGAGAGCCGGTCCTCCTTCTTCAAAAGGAGCTCGCGGAGTTGCTCCTCCTTCCTGCGTAGCTGCTCCTCCTTCCTGCCTAGTCGCTTCAAGAGGGCTTCGGGGTCGGTCATTCCGAGGTACCTGGAGCCCCCAGCAATAGCAGCCTCAATATCATCAATCTTCTTGACAACCTCTGCCGTCTCCTTCTCTGCATCCTCGATCTTGCGCTCTACACCACGGATGTCATCCTGGACCGCACGGATTTCGTCCGCCGCCGGAATGCGATCGGCAGCTTCTCGCGCATCATGATCGCCGCCCCCCTCCTCCTCGTCGCCCTCGCTCATCGCGCTCAAGCTCGTCATCCCTCGCACCGGGTAAAAAAATTGCGCCCCACAAGTGCCACAAGCCCCGAACACAGGGCAGGTCGCATCAGAGGGCTGCGAGAGCGAACACGTCGCCGTTGCAGGCGTGGAAGGAGGGGGCTGCAAGCGTGGCGACCTGAACGTCGCCGTCCAGCTCGGGACGAAGGCCAAGCATGCTTGTGCGATACAAACCAGGAGAAGAACCGACACACAATGCCTTGACATCTTGAAACCAATGCTTTCTTCGCTTCGCTTCGTATTGTAGGGGTGCAGTGGCGACGATGGCTCTCTCTATATAGCGTTTCGAACTTCCTCCAAAAGGGGGTCCGTGGATTATTTGTTGACGACATCGACGATACTCCCCGGGGTTTTTAATTCCTTCTGCCGTTGCCGCCGACTGGCACCTGCTGCTTTGAACACCTGGTGCATCTTGTGAATCCAACAAACACTACAAATAAAAGTACTCGAGGGACCTCGATGTGTGTAACTTGAAGCGCCGAACCGCAGTGAAACCGCACGTCGACACATAATGTCTGCAACCACAGGCAGCGACGTTGAGAGAATTAAAATCGCACACCGACAGAGAATGTCTGCAGCCACAGGCGTGCCTAGACTATGTATTTCAGACAACATCCAGTTTGGGTTTCTCGTTGCGTTTCTGCCCAGTGTTGTGCGTCTGCGTGCTAGAGGTTCGGCGAACCAAACATGCGGCAGGACTCACGAGAACGTGTCTCGGATGATACACCCAATCAGCACGTCTTCGCAAAGCATTGCCGGCAAGCAGCGCGACGAGAAGATACCCACAATATGGCAGCGTTACGCTGACGGAGTGGCCACTGGACCCTACGTTCCGTTTTCAGAATCAATCATTCCACGAAGATGGGTTGCAGATAAAAAGCGTTGTTGTTGACGTGCTGGGTCGCTACTACTGTATTCCGACCATACAGCGAGGGCGACTTTCGCGTCGGTGGCCTTCACCGCCTCTTCGGAACAGACGGAGATTTGCGGCGGTGTGCGAACAGGAGCGGTTGTGGTCTCATTTTCCGTTACCTTTTCGTCACACAGCAGAAGCGGCTCTTCAGCTGAGGCAGAATGTCGTCTGTGAACTCGACCGGCAGATGGGTCGCCCGGCTTCTCCGAATGATCTGTGGTCGGAGGCCATGAAGCGATCTTCGAGTTTTCCATACGTGCGTCCCGAGCATGTGTTCTTGTTAATCTATCACAGCCATGTAGTGCCCCTTGTTTCGTGACGATCAATCCCCTCCGCGCTTTCTCATGTTCGGGATTTCATTTGAAAGTGTTTCGATTGGTACCAGCCCATGAACGCGACATGCAAACCACAGATTCCTACAGTTGCGCCTGTCTGCACTAGGTGCGGGGTCGAAGCTCTAGTGATCTCCCACTCGATGTAGGTTCTGATTTTTCCCGCGGAATTACGCCATGCTGTGTTGTTGTGCGTATCACGACGGGGTTCGACTTCAGCTATTTTATCCGCTATCAACTCGAAACGAGGACGTCAACGACACCTAAAAACTGTGTCAGTTAATCTCGAACAACGCTATCCAATTTTGCACGACCACGCAAACAGATATTTCAAGGGATGTATCTTCCTCCGTACTTGGAACAAAAAACCAAGCCCACCCCCACCGAAGTATCCTCCCCGTCGTACAAAGTGGCCAACAACAGAGAGCGACCGGCGTTTAGGCGCCGATACACCACGAACATCACGCCCTTGTTCTTGAGGGGAGCCGGGGGGAAACTTTTTCCTCCGCATGAACCGGTTGGCGAAAGCAAACCCTGTCTGGCCATATCTGCAGAGGAAAATTTGGGTAGGACGGAGGCCGGGGCTACGTTACAGGGGTCAAATTGGTTGAAACGACAAACGAAACAACCTGCGAGTGCTCTGGGGCTTCACCCACGCTGCCTTCCTCTTCACGTTGAGTTGGGTTTCATGGTTCCCCGCAGAGTCGGCGGCGGTGGAGACCGTAACCTGGGCGCCCGCCGACAGAAGATTGGCCTCTTCGAGTATGCCGTGGGCTTCGGCGTCCTTCACGCCCTTGTCTCTCCTTCACCGCTCCCTCCTGCTGCCTCCGCCCGGCTTGGGTCTGGCCCAGAAGATCCTCGCTCCCTCCGACTACACGGTTTCAGCGTCACCGGTGATCCCCAACAAGATCCGGCTCCACCACCAGCCCGACCGAAACCGTATCCCAACCAGGCAGGGAAATTGTGCACGTCAAAGCTCCTGCTGCTGCTGACACCGACTGCTTTTTCCCTGCTGCAAGGCGAGGATTGACAATAGTTGGTCGCGACGCGGGGAAAATAAGTTAAAGTTTATACACAAGGCAATAAGGATCAGATGGTGGTGTGTACGGGAAAAGTTGAAATGCTACCAAACGAGTGCCTCGCGCCCCACCCGTGGCTCATTTTTCTACGCGCGAACAAGATTGAGATACGCTCCGTCGGAGAAGCTCCCGAGTATCCTGAAGAGTGATCGATATCGCAGGCGAGAATACACCTCGAAAAACAGAGAGCAGACAATTCTACAAAAACATGAAAATAATGGAAAGAAGAGACGTGTGAAGTGGTGTGGCCAGAATCCCGAAGAAAAACAGCGTCCACCAAACACTCGCGCTCATGGGAGACAGAAAGCTGGCGCGGCCCTAGCTGCGAAAGAAACGACCAAGAAGAAGGCGGTTGTCGACGCTGCCGCCAAGGAAAAGGCTGTGAAGAACTCGAAACTCAGAGCGACCGCCGTCATAAAGAGAGCAGGAATGGTAGCTGCCGCGGCAAAAACTAGGTAATCGTTGTAGGGAGGAGTCCGGCGAGGGGATACCAAACGCGAGGTGTAGTCACCTTCAAAACTCACGGCAAATAAGTCAAAGGCCGCTTCGGTCGCGAAGCGCATGGGAGACACCTTGCAAAAACACGAAAGTCAAAATTGCACACTACGCGAATAAAAAAAGGATACGGTACCAAAAAGTAAGCTTTTCTTGATGTAAGCTCGGTTTCGGAAAAGAGGAGGAGGCGTTAGGTGTATTGCCACTACTTCCAGGAAACAATAGACAGCGCTTCGAATACTTGTTTCCATTTCCAACATGCCGTCAACTCTGAGCAAACTGTATGATGCCGCAGCTAGTGGTTCCGTCGAGCGCACGGTTGCCGTGCTTTCTCAAGGGTCGGTAAACATCGACGGAGGCTACGGTGATGTGGGCCGGACCCCCCTGATGGCGGCCTCCACCATGGGATACTTGCGGGTCGTAAGGGTCCTTTTGAGACTCGGAGCCAGAGTGTCGGTGGCGGACAATGACGGTGCGACAGCTCTACACCTGTCGATTGTCAACAAACACCTGGCCGTCAGCAAGGCTCTGGTCAAGGCCGGAGCGGGCGTTGAAGCGCGTGGTGTAGACGGTACGCCGCTTCACGTGGCCGCGGCGAAAGGATTCCACAAAGGAATGGTGATGCTGATCCACGCAGGTGCGAATGTCGATAGTGAGCAAGAAGGCGGAGCGACACCCCTGTACATTTCGGCACGACAAGGGAGACTTGAAGATGTCAGGGTTCTCGTTGGGGCGAAGGCGAATCCGCTCTTGCCTGCATACGACGGCGAAAGCCTCCCGCTCGACGCGGCTGCTGAAAACGGACACCTGAAAGTTGTCCGCGAACTAGTACAGCGATTCGGAATCGACAGTTGTTCTCGTGACGGTGGCACGCAAGCTCTCGTGGAGGCCGCTTCTCAGAATCAAGTAGATATCGTCACTTTTCTGTTTGACAACGGTGCGGTTGACGCGGAGGGCATTGCACTGTGTGCTGCCGTGGAAGGTCGGCGTGAGGAGTGTATCAAGCTCCTTCTTGCGAATACCAGTACGCGTGCATACGCCAACATGGCCCACGACAGTACCTTGCCCATGTACTCCAACCAACTTTTCCAAGACACCCCTCTTGTGAGCGCATTTGAGCTGGGGGGCTTCTATTCTCCCAGAATCACGCGCTTGCTCCTTGACGCCGGCGCGGACGTGGCATCGCGCGTTCGGTATGAAGGAATCGAAGGAGATTGTGTGATACACGATACGCCCTTGGCGATCGCCGAATCGATTCTACCTTTGTGGGAGACCGAATGGGATGCTTCGGAAGACGTGGAGCTCGGACTGAAGGGTGTCATACGCTTGCTGAAGCAGGTGGATGCAGTTCACGCGATCTCCTGGTGTTGGCCGAACGCCTTGGAGAAATCAACGCCGATCGTTCGCATGCTGCCGGGTCTGAAGCGCAGGGCGACGAAGCCTCGGGTGGGTGTGGTCTTGGCGGCCCTGTCCAGGTGCGTGGTGTTGTTTTCGTTCGTCGGGTATGTTTGCGAGCAAGATTGTTGAAAACCGAACTAAAAAACGTCGCGCCACGTCTTGTTATCCACAGGTACAACAGCAAGGAGGACGGACCGTTCCTGGGGTACTCTCCGGATAAGAATGGGGAATAGGACAGCGACCGTAGCTGCTGTACGTGGGCAGGGGTACAAACGAAGGAGGCTGCCGCGGGCGAATCTACTGCTGCTCGGTCGTAATGGTGATGGGTTTCGCCATCGGCCGAGCTTGCTCTTGTGTGATGTGTTAAGGAGATAGAGTGGGACATGGTAGCCCGGAAACAAGCTAGCTATCGCTGCTGCTGCAGCCGACGCGTCAAACGTAGACCCGGGGCATGGCGTTGCTACCCCTCAGTGTCACGCGCCAGTGCGTGGGGATGAAAATCCCATTGCGCAGATTGAGCATTCGTGGGTGTTAGGCTAGGTAGCCAGGCAGGGCAGGCGGGAAAAATGATGAAGGATCTGTACACCGTTCAGTGTGGCGCGGTTGCGGGGGGCGTGTGCTACGCAAGTGACTGTGGTATCATAGAGCAGGCAATCCGTGATGTAGCTCAGACATTATCCGCTTTTTTCGCACGCTGGCGTAAGTGGTATATGGCGCCACGCGGGCAAACATGAAAACATTTGTATTTATTATACGTGGCATGGTTGAGAAGGTGGTGCACACGGCCTCCTTTGGAGCAATCCATCGGCGTACAAATCGCCTCCATCATCGAGCAACCGCACAGTCAAAGTTGGCTCGTAGTGTGGAGTCTTCTTCATTTGCAGTACTCGTCTAAATGGGGGGGGGGAATCGGCGAGGCGTGATCCTATCTATTCGCACTCTTTGAAGAAAGAACGGAGGAAAGGTGCTTCTTGCGCATGCAACTCGTCGTCGGACACATTATAGCTATTCGAAGTGCTGTACTCTCTCCCTCTCCGCGAATTAAGAAGTGCTGGTTGCTGGAACGAGAGCGCCATCGGTGTTCTTCGCGTGCGCAGCACATCGTCGGACATATCATGGCTGTTTCAATCATCGTACAAGAAGCTTTTGCGGAACAGAGGGTCGCTGCTTCCTTGCGCGCGCGACCAAGCGTCTGACACATCATGGCTGCTCGGACTTTGCTCTCTCCCTGTCCCCGATTTGATGAATGCAAGTCGGTGGAACGAGAGCACGATCGGTGCTCCTCGCGTGCGCGACAAACCGTTTGACACATCATGGCTATTTGAACTTTGGTTTCTGCCTGTCGCAGATTTGTAAATTGCTGGTTTGTGGAACGAATGGAGAATCGGTGCTCTTGCGCGCGGGACAAAGCGTGGGATGCCATGGTGTTCGAAATTTGCTCTCTCCCTCTCTGACATATGAACAGCTGGTTTAAAGTACGAGAGAAGGATCGGTGCTTCTTGCGTGAGGCGACCAAGCGTCAGACACGCCATGGATGCTCGAACTTTGCTCCCTGCCCCTCCCAGACTACAAAAAGTGCCGGTTTGTGGAACAAGGGCGCGATCGGTGCTCCTTGCGAGCGCAACAAATCGTCGGACGCATCATGGCTATTAGAACTTGGCCTCAGCCTCTCCCGGGGTCGAAAATCGCTGGTGTGTAGAACGAGAGCGGAATCGGTGTTTTTCGGGTGCGCGACCAAGCGTGGGACACTCCATGGATGCTTGAACTGTGCTCTCTCCCGCTCCCTGACCTTCAAAAAGCTGATTTGAAGAACGAGAGAAGGATCGGTGCTTCTTGCGCGCGCGACGAATCCTCCGAAAGATCATGGCTGCTCGAACGTTCGCTTTCAAGAACAAACTGAGGGGGATGCTGCTTGCTCGCGCGACAAAGCGTCGGACACATTCATCATGGCTGTTTGAACTGTCCTATTTCCTTCTCTGACATGTAAAAAGCAGGTTTGGCAAACGAGAGAGGGGGCGGTGCCTCTTGCGTGTACGACACGTCGTCGGACACATCAGAACTATTCGCCTTGCTCTCTCCCTCTCCCCGATGATATAAAGTTGGTTGGTGGAACGAGAGCACGATCGGCGATCCTTACCCGCGCGA